AGCATTTAAATATATAAAATAAATATCAAAATATAAGTCTTTGTTTTACTATGGTTGCAAATATCAAAAAATTCCTGTATGTGACATGGCACCAGAGTTAAGTTAGGGTTTTTCAAAATGCTGACACGCCGAGCTCAAAAGGTTCGCCATCACTAGCCTACGGGGTCTGGGGAGGCTGGGGGCGGTCAGCACGACTGCCACATTGGAGATTAGGCAGTTTAGGGAGGTATAGTTGGGGATTGCTTTGATTTGAAATTTTGCTCAGTGCCACTTTAATCAGTTTAACAATAACCCACAACCGTCGGACCAACTCTGCCACTTTAAAAGTAACCTCACTGAAAATTAGGTTCTAAAATGTGACAGTTGAGTAAGATGTAAGAAAGCACTTTTAAACTAGCTGGGGTAGTTGCATGCGGTGATGGTTTATGGTTAAGTTGATGTTTGCTTGAGCAGTAGCCATCTAGTTTTTGACAGTTGGTAAATCAAAACACAGAAAAGGAATTCTACGAGTCTGAACATTTTAATTCTGTGTAATAGTATCCAGCTCAAAGTGGCAAAATCAGACAGCTTGGAGGTTAATTGTATCCTGTTAGGTAATGACTTTTAAATAGATAGCAATTTAAGTTTTGGGGGTTTTTTTTTTGCCTTTGTTGAAATTGCATATGTCCCTCTTTCCTCCCATCGATCTCCACCCAAGACTGAAGCCTTGCCCCCAGCTGGTTTGTCTTGGTGAACAGAGTGTTGGCCTACAGACAGGTTCCGGGTTTGATTCTGGTCAAGGGCACATGCCAGGTTACTGGCTTAATCCCCAGTAGGGGGTGGGCAGGAGGCAATTGAATGACTATCATTGATGTTTCTCTCTGAAATCAAAATACATTTCTTAGGTAGGCCTTGACAGTACTAGCTGAGACATTTGAGGGGTGTGAAAAGGCTAAAATTTCTCTAGTTCCATGAGGGAAGTAGCCCCTATAAGTTTTTTGTAATTTGCTTATTTGTACAGGTGAGGAAAAATTGGCCAACTTAGCGGTAGCTGATACACAAATTTGTCACAGCTGTAGGATTTACTAGACTAAGATTGTTCAGCCGCTCTGTCCCGTTCCCCCCCCCCCCACAATAGTGGTGTTTAACTTCAGAGAACACTATTAGAAAGGGTAGGAAGGAGGGTGACCAGAGTGAAGGAAAAGTTTAGTTGCTGGCTTCCTCCACAGAACCGGGTATCTGTAGGCTTGCCAAGACAACTGCCTGGTTTTGAGCACCACCTACTGGTCACTACAAACTAGTTTTACATTCATGAACGAAGATTTTTGCACCACCTACTGGTCACTACAAACTAGTTTTACATTCATGAACAAAGTTAAATTTTTGCTCTGAGGTTCTACACGGCATTTCCTTCTGTTGCCATCAATGTAAAGATCTCAAAGTCCTGTTGAAATTTGTTCCTGGGAATTGTGTTTTTAGGATATGGAAAAGGGCATTCAGGTGTTAGATAGATTGCCTTTAAGGCATATCTTTTTAACAGCTTAAGCCCAAAATAGTCAATGCAGTATAACCAGATTTTGATCATTTCAGAACAGTTTATTCCCGCACCTTCCCTAATTTACCTCCCAAGTCTCAGGTGCATCAAGAACTCTGGCTATCTGGATCAAGGACCCAGTCTGGTGGTGACAGTTTATTCTGATCTAACATTTAACCCAGTCTCTGCTCTTTTTAGTCTCTGATTTTGTCACGAAGAATGCATATGGTTCTTCTCAACGTTACCTTGGGGTTTTAGTGACAGCATTTATATCTTCCTGTGGTGATTCTAGAAGACTTAATTCAACTAGAGATTTTAATTTGTAAATATCCTTGGCTCTGATCAGATTATTTGCAGCTAACTAAAAGTTCCCCCATGGCACTAATAAACTAAAATCACCTTAGTTTTTTTAAGTATTTGGTGTTTATTTTTAAATGTTTTTAGCCCTCACCCAAGGATATTTTTCCATTGATTTCTAGAGAGAGTTGGGGGGCGGAGGGGACATTGGCTGCATCCTGCACATCCCCTACTGGGGGTTGAGCCACAACCCTGGCAAGTGCCCTTGACCGGAATTGAACCTGAGACCCTTCAATCTGCAGGCCTGTGCTCTATCCACTGAGCTAAACTTACTAGGGCCAGAAGCAGTTTTTTCAAGAACACAGGTGCTCATTTGGTTGAGTTTTGGTTCTGCCCAATAGACTATTGACTGTACAAATCAGTGAAGAAATACTGGTTTTCAGTAGGGGATGTAAAAATCCTGAAGAATATTACCAGGACTATCGTTTTAATTTTTATTAAAATTTATTTATCTTGGTATCATTTCCTGTTGAGAACTGAGCTAATGCCAGGAGAATTTTTTCATGGTTGTAGTATTCACAATTCCTCAAATGGCAACTTGAGATCAAGGGTGTCGATTTCATGTGTGTCAACGTGGCCTTACATGTTTTAGATCGATAGTCAAATGCTAGTTCACATGTCATGAAATGCTGTGGAAATAAATCCAGTCAGTTCAGAAAGTTGCATTCTGGAGTGAATTCTGGATTCTGATGATGTAGTGTGCTGTTTCAGGTGAGAGAAGGGGGGGAATAATACATTTCCTCCTTTTTTTCTTGCTTACCTCCCTAAAGTTTTCCTCTCTGATCTGGTTTTGCTTTTCATAACTGCTATTTTTCCCCTCTACTTACAAACCCATAGGTTCTTCCAAGTAGCATCGAAGTTACATAATGACCGGCCTCCATTTGCGTATTTCTGGAAACTCGGGACTAGTTAAAACCAGAATTGAAGCATAACTATTAACTAGAGGCCCGGTGCCCTCCCAAAGTCCAGGAGCCCTTGGGAGATGTCCGACTGACATCCCTGTGGGAGGGCACTGACCCAGCCCCCTATTACCCACCGCCGGTGGCCTCCGTCTGTGGGAGGTGATGGCTGGCCTGGTGCCACCCACTCGCCAGCCCCTCCACCCCACCGCCATTCAGTTGATTTGCATATGAGGCTTTTATTATATAGGAGGATACATTACTTGCTCATCCAGTGATTTAAAAGAGAAAATGTATTAACTTTGTTAGGAAACTGCCACATGGCTCTTGAAGGTTGACTCAATCCAATAGAAGTCTCTCAGAGGGGCCATATCATTTTGCTGTTTTCTAAAGAAAGGGTTATGCTGTAGTCCAGCAGTCACCAATAGAAATGAGTGAAGTAAATAGAAGGAATATTGTCTTTTATCTTTAACTGCTTTTACTAGGCTCCTGGATCTCTTAAGTGTTTAGAGCTCAGTTTGGTCTCTGTGGGACAGATATGACAACAAAAATAATGTTGAATTGATGTTACAATAATTATATCCTAAGCAAGAGATTTCATTTATATATATATATTGTTTTTTAATATATATATTGTTTTTTACAGAGAGGAAGAGAGGGATAGAAAGTTAGAAACATCAATCGCTGCCTCCTGCACACCCACTATTGGGGATGATCCAGCCTACAACCTGGGCATATGGCCTGACTGGGAATCTTAACCATGACCTCCTGGTCCATAGGTCACAATGCTCAACCACTGAGCCATGCTGGCTGGGCCTTCCCCACTTTTTTATTAATTATGTACCCTTTTAAAGTATATAGTTCTGCAAGTTTTGACATGTATACAGCTCATCGCAATAAAGTTTCCATCCACCCTTCCCCTGAAACTTTCCCTGTGTCTCTTTGTCGTCAACAGCAATCCTCTCTCCCAATCTTTGGTAACCACTGATCTATTTCCTGTTCTTATAATTTTGGTTTCGCACTAATATCATATACCTGTATTCATACAGTATATAGCCTTTTGAGTCTGGTTTCTTTGATTTACTATGATGCAGTTGAGATATCCATTTTGCATATGTCATTAATCAGTGTGTGTTTTTTTTAATAGATGTAAAACAGTTTACTCATTCCCAGCAACTAAGAGACATTTGGTTGTTTCTAGTTGTGGACAATTAGAATAAGTCCACTGTAAATGCTCACGTATAGGTTTGTGTTTCACTACAGGTTTTCATTTTACTTGTGTTAAATACCACTGGGATTGCTAGGTTAAATGGCAGGTGTAAGAAACTGTGAAACTTTTCTCAAGTGGCTGAGCCAATAATAGATTAATTTTTAAGTGACATTTTAAATTTTGCTATGATTAAATTTTTAGGGAAGAAAAATAATTTGACGAAAGGAGTGTGACACTGAGATTCTGTAGGACAGTGAAGAGCTGACAATGTTATAAAGGAAAAGAGAAGGAGATACTATGAGAGAGAAGAGAAAAGGAAAATAATTTGGATTGGCTAGAGAAGGTACTGGTCAGGAATAGCTGAAACCTGAAGGATATGTAGAGTTATTGAATTAGATAATATGAAAACATTACTTCTTAAACATCTCAATAAATGAGGCTTCACTTGGCCTCATAATTATATAGAATCAGAAAAAAATCTAAGAATCTAAAAGCCTTTTAACCTAACACCCTCAAATAAACTTTGGATATGTTCATTGAAATCTGCTTGCTTACCTCAACGATGTGTGTGTCATATTGGGGAGAAGAGACATCTCACTGAATCCTCATGACAACATAGGGGGCATGACAGGTATGAAGAGAGGCTCCTATGTTATTCCATTGCTGGAAGATTTTTTCCCTCCATATTTATTTAAATTTGCCTGCTGGTAACCTACAATCTTTACACCTAGTCTATTCTTTAGGATAAATGAACAACTTAATTCTATTTTCTACCAGAGCCACCAATTTACTTGAAGACACCAATCAGTACACCATGATCACTTTCAGATACTACAGCAGTTTTACCTTAGGTCACATGGTTTCTAGATTCTTCCCATTCTGTTCTTCCCAGTTTATAGCTTTTTAAAAAAATATAGAGAGGAAGGGAGAGGGAGAGGGAGATAGAAATATCAATGATGAGAGAGAATCATTAACTGGCTGCCTCCTGCACACCCCCTACTGGGAATTGAGCCTGCAACCCAGGCATGTGCCCTTGACTGGAATCAAACCCGGGACCCTTCAGTCTGTAGGCCAATGTCTGCCAAACTGACCAGGGCCTAGTTTATAGCCTTTAAAGTGTTTCCATCCACCAAAATTGAATATATTATAGTTTTGGATGCATAAAAGACTGGTCTCTTAATTGAGGGTATGCTTTCACTAGTGTGACTCAAGAGAAAAGTCACCTTGTTTGGACTCTAGTTTCCCAAATTGATCCATTTCAACCAGCTGATCAGGGTGTTGTATAAGTGGGGAAAAAGCTGTCTCTTTTATTTACCTAATGGGCATAATACTGTCTAATCTCTTAAAATGATTGTAGGAATGAAATGAGCTAGTACATACAGACTCTCTAGCCCAGTACCTGGCCTATTGAAAACGGCCAATAAAAGGTAATTTTTATTATTACAGTTGTTTGGAAGATCACAATTTAAACAACTCCATTGCACTTCTGTATTATAGTAAACAAACATTACCTGATTTTTTTAGTGCAAATTATGTTTTAGGAAGACATCCTTTAAACTATATTTGCGTGGTTAATTTTTGTCTTTTTTTTTTTTTTACAAACCTTTTATTTTGGAGTAACTTTAATTTTCTAGAAAAGTTGCAAAGATAGGATAAGAGTTTCCATATATCCCCTCACCTAGTTTGTCTCCCCTAATGTCACCATCTTGCATTTCCAAAGTACATTTGTATGTACTGTTCATGCACTGCTAAACAACATTGGTACATTACTGTTAATCTCCAGATGATTCAGATTTTGCCACTAATCCCAGTATTGATTCAATCTAAGACACCAATGTATGGTTAAAATGAAGAACTCCAATGTTGGAAGTTTACATATATCTCTGCTACATTTCATCATCTTGTTGCGATACTTTTGAATCTCAAGCCTGCCATCTAGAATGTTAAAATGTGGACTTTGTCATTTACACATCTGATACTTATGTTTCTTTAGTTTTATTTAAATTATTGATTACTACTAAACAAACTAGGTCCAAAAACAGAGACCTAGGTATTGCACTAGAGAATGTTCTTTGATTATGGTCCAGCCAATTGCAAATTCACCTAATAATCTTGCACCAAAATTATTATCTAAGTCATATCTAGATTATTATTATTATTACCAAGACTATAATCTAGGTCACTTTCCACCATTTTAATCAAGGTATTCATGAGGAAAATTTTATCAAATGTTTGGTAAAAGCAAGATGAAGCAGGTGATAGCTTTAAATTTACTTTCATAACTATATAGAATTTAAAAAACGTAAGAAAGTCTAAAAGTCTTTTAACCTAACCCCCTCAAGTCAACTTTGAATATATTCATTGAAATCTAAGGTCAAGGGGGGAGTAACATCTCTGTACTAGGAATTTAAATTTTCTATGTTAAGCAATCATGGTTTCCCTAAAAGAGTTCAGGTGGTTTGGGCTTTCTGTCAAACTTTACACTTAGACTACATCAAAGCAACAGCACATGCAGTCTGGATATTGTTTCTGACACAATCTCTTTTGAGACATTATCTAAAATGTGGGCTATTGCTTATATAAAGCAGAATAGATTTTAAAATAGACATAGTCAAAAGGTAGGTAGTTTTGTTTTTTCTAGTGAGAGTAACTGGCAACAAAAACTGACAGAAGGCAGGGTGATGTGATCCTGCAAGTGTGGTTTCCAGAGGTCAAAGGACAGATGGCCATTATAAGAAAAATCGTAAGATATTCCACTTGGTTAAAATTTGAGTAAAATCATGTGATTGAGAGAATATCTTAGTTGGTGTTGCAATAAACTAGGGTTGCCACATAAGCAATTTTATCAAATGATTGGCAAAAGCAAGATGGAGCATGGTGAAATAGTTCTCAGCCCCTGGTGACGGCATCTGCAACATTTTCTGAAGCCTGGGTTGTAGCCATTAAGTGTAAGGACTGCAGCTGTGTCATTGCAAAAAAGGAAGGGCCTGACACAGCCTTGACCTGCAGTCTCTCACTTTAGCTATTGTCATACCTTCTTGATTGGCCCTTTGGACTTCTGTTGAACCTCCTACAGGATTCTGCATAGAGCTGACAACTCAGTTAAATGTCTTATGAGAAATAAGGTGGTTTTATTACGTTATGGTTAGATATAGTAAACATTTTCTCATAGCCAAATCTTTATATGAAAGGGAATACATCTCTTGGAACTCAGTTTCTCAGATTATATAGAACTGCTCATGAGTGTTTTTCTTCAACGCTCTGATACCTGACTGGTGTTTATTAAACTGCCCCACCCTGAGGTTGTTTTTTGTGAAACTGGAAATACAGAAAATTCAGTAAGTTTTCTTTCCTTGTTTGAAATGTGTACACACACACACACACACACACACGAAGTCTGATTTTGTAGTAAATACGGTATAGTCTAAAAATGTTTCCTTTGAAATTGAGGCAGTGTGTTTTTTTCTGTATCTTAACGTGCTATTTTAAATTCGGATTGTCCATATTTTAAAAGGGTGTAGACCAACTCTAAAAGAGAATTCAAAGAATAACCAACATACACTGAGTGGCCAGATTATTATGACCACCCCATCAGTACTTCATTGACACTTAAAAAATACTGACTATTGAAAACTTCCTAAGCAAAGACTCTCAAGGTTTTATTATTATTTGCTTAACTAATTCACTTCATTGTACTGTGAGTGCTATAATGGCTCACTAAGCATGGCAATTCCATAAATACTTAGCATGAACTGAAGGTTAAATAAAGAGAAACAGACTTCTAGATCGTTTAGAAGGGATGGAGAAACTTTTATCTAGTGGAGGACCTCTGGTCCTTAGGAGAAAAACCCCCCACTAAACATTGCAGAAAGATATCCTGAAGACCGATGCTCAACAGCTACTTGCAATTATATTTTAATCATATTACTTAACAAGCTACAGCATAGGAAAATATAAACAAGACTTGGTTTTTAAAGCTTTAAAACATTCTTACTTTGAGGAATACATTGATGTGAAAGAATCCTACTGTATTGAAATTTTCCCATCAGGGAGTAGTGCTATTCAAATAGATTAGTCTTTTTTAAACATTTTTTACTAGGATCCACAGTAAGGAATATATATTTTCTATTATAATACAGTATAAACACACCCTATTTCATTGCCTCTAAGACATTTTCAATTGGAAGTCACAAATGCTGCCAATCATAATTGTGAGATACTAGAGCAGTGGTTCTCAACCTTGGCTGCACATTAGAATCACCTGGGAATCTTTTTAAAATCCTGATTTCTGGGCCTCATCCTCCGGAAATTCTGTTTCTTTGTTATGGGGTGAGGCCACAACATTAGTAACAAAGAAACAGAATTTGCGGAGGTTGGGGCCCAGAAATCAGGATTTTAAAAAGATTCCGAGGTGATTCTAATGTGCAGCCAAGGTTGAGAACCACTGTTCTAGAGCATGATTATAGAGCATACACCAATTTAGAGATGATAAAATACAGAAAAAAATATGTATTTTAAAATTGATGAAGTGTAATTTGTATATAAATCACTGAAACAAATTTCAGAGAATAGTACTTACACTTTAGCCTATACTTGTCCAGGCAGACATTCAAGTGGCTTAAAAACTTGCATTTGAAAATAATTGGGTCTTGTCCACAAATCGCAGCCCACCTCTCATTGGAATGTAGAGTGACATTTCATTCAACTTAAATTTCTATAATAGAATGCAAGTTCAGTTTTCTGCACATACAGATTATTTGTATTCTAGGTTCCTGAGCCAGCACAAACTGTAAAATTAATTGCAATTTAGTTTCTGCCAAAAGCAGCTGAGACAATGGATATTTATTGAGGCAAGCTAGTGGTTCTCTCAGTTGGCTGGGCATCAGAATAACCTATGGAGCTTGTTAAACACAGATGCCAAGACCTTTCCAGGCCAAATGAATTAGAATTGCTTGTCATAAGGCTTGGCCATCTATTTTAATAAGCTTTATGGGAATTCTGATGTCCAATCAGATTTAAGAATCATTGCTCAAGGGCTTGCCAGTCATACATTACTTTAGTTTTTGTTTTTACATAACAGCTTATTGATTATATGTCATATTAGAAAATTCACCCTTGTAAAGTGTACAATTCAATGGTATTTAGTATCTTCACAGAATTGTACAACCATCACCACAGTCTAATTTTAAAACATTTCATCACCTTAAAAAGAGGTGTCCTTTTTAATGGCTAAGAAGCCACCCAGAAGACTCCTTTTATAATTCATCCAGTCAGTTTCACACCAGCCTCAGGCCTAGACTAAATGCTAAATGCGAGGGGGATTGCAATGACCAAAATTGGTTTAAACTTTGAAGATTTACCTCCTGCATTTCAGAAGGGAGTAAACAAAACCATGGTTCTTTTGGCAAGGCAGAGGGCAGTGGACAGACATGGTTATTGGGAACTCAACTGGCAGTGTTTATCATAGGCAAGTTACTTAATGTCTCCAAATCTTGTTTCCCTTTTCTCTGGAACAAGGAACAGCTCTGTTATGGGATTAAATGCAATAATGCAAGTAAAGCATTTAACTTCATATCTGGCACACAGCAAACATTAGGTAGTAGCTACTTTTATATAAAATCACTAATGAAAGCATTGTTTTCCATAGGAGATTGTGTGATAAATGGTTTTTAAATGTGTTTTTATTGATTTTTTAAAATATATTTTTATTGATTTCAGAGAAGGGAGAGATGAAAACATCAATGATGAGAGAGAATCACTGATTGGCTGCCTCCTGCATGTCCCCTACGGGAGATTGAGCCTGCAACCCCTGCATGTGCCCTTGACCAGAATACAACCTGGGACACTTCAGTCTGCAGGGCGACGGTATTCACTGAGCCAAACAGGCTAGGGCTTACTGATTTTTTGAGAGAGAGAGAGAGAGAGAGAGAGAGAGAGAGAGAGAGAGAAACAGAGAAACAGAGAAACTTCTATTGGTTGCCTTCTATACATGCCCCAACCAGAAATTGAGCCTGCAACCTTTTGGTGTATTATGGGGCTGACACTCCAACCAGTATGTGTCCTGACCAGGAATTGAACTTTTACCTCCTGGTTCATGGGTTGATGCCCAACCACTGAGCCACACTGGCCAGACTTAGATTTTAGTAATAGGAAAAAATATTTCCTGGTCCCCTTGTATCAGTGCCAGGAAGCTTTGAGCTAGAATTTAACGTTTAAGTGTAATCTGCCTTTTCCTCAGCTGATCTTTAATTCTGAACTGTTTTGCTTTCTTTAAAATGTCTCACCATTTTTAGAAAAGCAGGGGATAAATTATCAATCAATAAGCCAAATAGGTTTTGGAATCTTGAGATATGTTTAAATTAATTCATTTTTACAAAAAATTATAAATTACAACATAAAATTTATCATCTGAACCATTTTTTTTCTTGAACCATTTTTTAAAAATTATGTTGTCGTTCTCTTTTCTTTTCGTTAATCCTCACTCAAGGGTATTTTTCCCATTACTTTTCAGAGAGAGTGGAGGGGAGGGAGGGAGGGAGAAAGAGACAGAGAGAGAGAGAGAAACATGGATATAGGAGAGACACATTGATTGGTTACTTCCTGCACCTACCCCGACCAGGGTCAAGGATTTAACCTGCAACCCAACTATGTGCCCTTGACCCCCTTGACTGGGAATTGAACCCTCAACCCTTCAGTGCATGGGCTAATGTTCTAACCAGTAAGCTATGCTGGCCAGGGCACCATTTTTTTTTTAAAATATATTTTATTGATTTTTTACAGAGAGGAAGGGAGAGAGATAGAGAGTTAGAAACATCGACGAGAGAGGAACATCGATCAGCTGCCTCCTGCACATCTCCCACTGGGGATGTGCTCGCAACCCAGGTACATGCCCCTGACCAGAATCGAACCCGGGACCTTCCAGTCCGCAAGCCGACGCTCTATCCACTGAGCCAAACCGGCTTCGGCCAGGGCACCATTTTTAAGAATAGAATGGCATGAAGCATACTCACATTGTGTAGCTATCACCACCATCTTCCTCCAAAAACACTTTTCACCTTGCAAAACTGAAACTCTGCACCATTAAACAGTAAACTCCCCATACCTGCAACTCCTGGCAACCACTCTTCTACACTAGGTACCTCACATAAATGAAATCATATGTTTGTCCTTTTGTAACTGGCTTATTTCACTTAGTGAAATGTCCCCAAGTTCACCCATGTCCTAGTGCAGTGATGGCGAACCTTTTGAGCTCGGCGTGTCAGCATTTTGAAAAACCCTAACTTAACTCTGGTGCCGTGTCACATATAGAAATTTTTTGATATTTGCAACCATAGTAAAACAAAGACTTATATTTTTGATATTTATTTTATATATTTAAATGCCATTTAACAAAGAAAAATCAACCAAAAAAATGAGTTTGCGTGTCACCTCTGACACACGTGTCATAGGTTTGACATCACTGTCCTAGTGTGTCAGAATTTCCTTCCTTTTAAAGCCTGAAAATAGTCAATGTTATTTATATACTAGTGACCCAGTGCACAAAATTCTACACTAGGTACCTCACATAAATGGGAATTAGAGGTACCTGCACATTAAAAGGGAATTAGAGGAAATATATATATATTTTTAAATATATTTTATTGACTTTTTAAAGAGAGGAAGTGAGAGGGATAGAGGGTCAGAAAGATGAAAATCTTCCTCCTGTCAGAGTCTGGTGTGCCACTCACTGGAACCAGAGTCAAGTCTCTGTCCACCCATGTGTGCCTCAAAATCACCTGAGACCCAGACCCAACCAGCCCCACCCCCGTCACACCCACACCCCAGTATATGAAAATCTTCCTCCTGTCAGAGTCTGGTGTGCCACTCACTGGAACCAGAGTCAAGTCTCTGTCCACCCATGTGTGCCTCAAAATCACCTGAGACCCAGACCCAACCAGCCCCACCCCCATCACACCCCGCCGCCGGTGGGGGTGTGTGGCCTCAGATCGCTTGGCCTGGCGCCAGGGCAGGGGGCATGGCCTGAGGTCCCCTGTCCCAGGCCAGGGTGTGTGGCTTGAGGTCCCCTGGCCGGGGCCAGAGGGCGTAGCCTGAGGCCACCCATCAAGCCCGGCCAGACAGGTCCCTGCTGATTGCTCGTTAAGGGAACTCCTCCACTATGGGTGCAGCCATCTTGACTGTTACAATTTGACAGTCAATTTGCATATTCCTGCTATTGGATAACATTTTGTTAATCAATGTGTCTGTTAATGGGCACTTAGGTTGCTTTTACAGTTTTTGTGGGCACTGTCATACTGCTTTCCATAGCTGCTGTACTGTTTTACATTTCCAACAATAGTACACAAGGGTTCCACTTTTTCCACAACCTTGCCAACACTTGCTATTTACTGTTTGATACTAGCCATCCTCATAGTTGTGAGATGGCATCTCCTTGTGGTTTTGATTTGCATTTTCCTAATGACCAGTAACAGTTGAGCATCTTTTCCTGTGCTTTTTTTGCCAATTGTATATCTTTGGAGAAATGGACATTCCAGTCCTTTGCTTGTTTTTTAATGTTTTAGTTGTAGGAGTCTTTCATATATTCTAAATATTAACCACTTTTAGACAGATGATTTGCAAATATTTTCATCCATCCCATAAATTGCCTTTTTACTCTGTTCTGTATTTCATCTGGCTTTTAAATTAGGAAATACTAATAACCTACTTAAATAAAAAATAAAGTATCATAAAAATTAGCTTCAGTATCATATTAGGGACAGTGAAAAGCCGGGACAATGCATGTAGGGAGGAAATGAAGCTGTAGAAAATGTAAAGACAGAAGAATTATGGAGAAAGGTATGTAGTTCTTAATATTTGTGTCATAAATATTTTTATTCCGTTAATTCAGTTAAGTTTTAATTTTGCCATCTTTTACCTTTAGCAATAGTCATTCATTCATCCATTCATCCAAAAAGTATGTTCCTGCCCTAGCTGATTTGGCTCAGTGAATAGAGCATCAGCCTGCGGACTGAAAGGTGCTGGGTTCGATTCCAGTCAAGGGTACACCTGGGTTGCAAGCTTGATCCCCAGTAGGAGACGTGCAGTTCTCTCATCATTGATGTTTCTCTCTCTCCTTCTCCCTTTGAAATCAATTATATATATAATTTTAAGCATGTCCCCAGTGTCTACAACTACGGCACAACTATGGCATTGCCTGCACTCAAGAGGCTTTTAACTTGTTAAGAGATTAAGGTAAGACAGATATTAAAAACTAAGGTGGAATGAAGTAAGTGCAATACTAGAAATGCTGTGAAGAGGGTGCCTAAAAGGAACAATTTATCTTCTCTGTGTGCCTTCCAGCATTAGCGGATCTGCCCACTCTGAATGAGTCTCTAGTCACTTAGGGGGCTTTCCTGGTATTTCTGACCACTTCCCTTGGACAGGGCATTTTCTCGTAGTTGATATTTTTTTGAAGTGGAAAAGCCATGGCTATTCCAATCTAGGTTGAAACTCAAAAATGAAAAAAATATTAAAACAGTAATAAAATCCAAACTCTTGGCTATAAGGTAACTTTATAATTCAAATCTATGATGGTTTAATTTAGCTTAGGTCTCTATCTTCATCCTCCCTCCCGCCCCCAAATTTTATAAATGTTTAGTGTCTCCTAGCTGTTTCCTCTTTTGATGTTGGTTTCTGTTGAACTTTAGTACCTATAACTATTAGGCAATGTGGTCTGCGGTGGGTAGAGGAAATCACAACTGTGACCAACTTCTGCTGGAGGCTGACTATTGTCATTACTGGGAGATTTCTATTAAATAACTGGACTGAGTAAGGTTACATTCTTAGCTCATCTTTTCCTAGGGCATCCTAGTCTATAGCACTTCTGGCTAGCAGTACCAGAAGGAAGGCTGTTTTAAAATATTATTTTAGGTCAAGTAATTTTGTACAAGTTAACATATATTTTAAATTGTAGATTTAAAGAAGTTTTACATGCTAAACTAAATGGAAGAATGTATAACAAATGTTTTTCATAGAACATTTTTCAGTGAGTTACTATTGTAACAAAATTGCATTACAAAACTTAAATTTCTTTATATGAATAATGTCACTAGCCCCAAATTAAAGCTCTCAAAGAAACTCTCAAAGCATTTAACCCTTTGCGGTCCAATTTTATTTTTGGAACTCAAACAGTCTGGTCCAAATTAATTGACGGGATTGAATGTTGAACTTTTTAATGTTCTTATTTTAAAGTTTAAACCAAAAATTCACTGGTTATATTACTAAGTATGTTCAATCAAAGAGTTTATTCTTTAAAACATTTCATAGTGTGGTATTTTTTGAAACTGGTCTGTCGAGTCAGCCTCGACGTTGGACCGAAAAGGGTTAAGAACTTTCTATTTCCTCAAAAATTTTTGTTGTAGTCCATTCAATGAGCACTCCATTCACTGCTTTTACTCTTCTATTTAATCAGAACAAAGTTTAAAAACAGTGGTTTCCTTTCTAGTGATAAACAATTACCACAGATAGCTTATCTGAAAAAATATGTAGTATTGTAGTAAACATTGCCTCTGCAGTAAGAATTCTGCCCAGAATAGCCATGATAAAGTTATCCTTTTTATGAAATTGCTAAATCAAATACCAAGAATAATCAGTCATGCCCTAGCCCAGCGGTTGCCAACCGGTGGTCTGTGGACCACTGATGGTCTGTGAGGTCCAAAAGGTTGGCGACCCTTGTCCTAGCTGGGTTGCTCAGTGGATAGAGCGTTGACCTGCAGATTGAAGGGTCCCAGGTTTGATTTTCGTCAAGGGCGCATGCCCGGGTTGTGAGCTCGATTCCCAGTAGGGAGCATGCAAGAGGCAGCCAATCAATGATGCTCTCTCATCATTGATGTTTCTATCTCTCTCTCTGAAATCAATAAAAGATATGTTAAAAAAATAAAAGAGCT